AGTTCCTGGTTTCTGGTTCCTGGTTTCTGGTTCCAGTTCCTGGTTTCTGGTTCCTGGTTTCTGGTTCCTGGTTCCTGGTTCCTGGTTCCTGGTTCCTGGTTTCTGGTTCTTGGTTTCTGGTTCCTGGTTCCTGGTTCCTGGTTTCTGGTTCTTGGTTTCTGGTTCCTGGTTCCTGGAGCTCTTTGCTGTCATGAACTCTGTTCAGTCAAATCTTTGTTCCTACAAACATTGAACTTTTGCTGCTCTGAAACAGCGTAGATAATCTCAGCAGGATCATCAGCATCCAGTAGAAGCTCCAGACATCTGATTGGTGAATCTAGAAGCGACCGGCCAATCAAGAAGAAGCTACAAGAAAATCAATCATGAAGCGTGAAAAGCTTTTTGTTTCACTCATATTTACTGTGAAATAATGAAGAAGAATAAAGTTCTTAGATGGAGAAAGTTCCACCTGTAAACCGACTCTGTTTGTTCTGTTTCTATGAAGAAAAGGTTCCTCTGCTGCTTTGCATCCTTCAGATTTGCTATAAGGATCATTTCCCTTTGATGAAAGGGTGAACGGTCCATGAACATTAAAGCATTTCTCTCAACAAATACGGTAAATATCCAGATTCTAGTGTTTCTGCAGGGTGGGGACTATTAATCTGATATCTGAGCCGACGGTGCTGCTGATCCATAGAACAGCTTCCTGTGCTGAAAGAAAGAAGCAGTTTAGGTCATGGAGAGTTCCTCTGGGCTCCTGCAGTCTGTGCTTCCATCAACTGATTCTTTTATTACAGCCAACAGGAAACCCAGCAAGGTTGGAGACAGAATGATTGATTTCAGTGGCTGAAAGTGACTCAATAACCATTAAAAACTATTTTCCTTCATTTCAGACGCAACTATTCCCAGAATGGGATTATATTAAACTGCACTTCCAATATTCACCACTGTTCGGCGCCATTTCGCTTTTTTCCTCAGAGCGCGGAGCAGGCTCTGATCTCTGTTTATTCCCTGGATTGGTAGGGTTGAAGTGAAGCCACCGGCCGCCATATTGGTACTCCCTAGTTAGATCGGTCTCATTGTGAGCAATCTGTGCGCTTCAGCATCGAACAACGATGATTTTCTCATTTTCTGAGTTTTAAAATCTCGATACTTTCTATTTTCTAACGTTAGACCCAATGTCAGCGTCTAACTCAGTCAATGTCTTCCAGCCAGTCTGAGATAGCCAGACTAATGATAGTCTTCAGACTAATGTTAGTCTGAGGACTATCCTATAGGATCCATGGGCTATAGATGGATTAATTGCTTAGTTTTTATTGGTTTGCTTTGCTCCTGCAGTACATCCTCTTTCTCTGCTCCCTGCTTTCTTGCACTTTCTGCTCTTTTTTATCTCTTAACTAAAACTACAGAAAATTGGATTTAGTTCGATTTATTTTCCTTGATTTATTTTTTATTTAGATTTTTTTCCCCGTGTGGACTATTTTAGTTTTCAGCTATTCCACACAAGATGCCAACGGACCCCCCCCCCCCCACCACTGGCTGAGACCACAGAGAGATGTCCCAAGAGAAGTGAAACGAAAGCGGGATGTTCTCACAACAAATGATAGGAGTAAACCTGCTGGAAATGTTGGAATTCTGCTACAGAACAGATTTGCTCCACTCCAAGATGAGACCCAGAAGGATCACAGCAACAATCAAAGGTATGTCAACAATCGTCACTCTAAGCTACCAGAGAAAAAACAGGCCACAGGGCCAAGGACCCTGATATTATGCAGTGGATCTATACGTGGGATTAAACATTTCTAAAACAAGAAAAACACAGAGGTGTTGATTTATACCCCTCACATGCCCATTTATTGTGGAGATGAAAT